AGACAAAGGTTCCTTAAAGATTTTTTTACTAAATTAAACAAGGTGAAACATGCATTTTTTTGCATAGGACCAATGACAGACCAATGAAAATGAAGACCAATAGTGTCCCTACCACAGTTGAAATCAAACCTACGCCCTTGCTCATTCCTCAGATAAAGTTGTTGGAATTTAATTTTAAATGTTATAGCTTTTAAATCGGGGTCATTTCAAAGATAAATATTTTTTGAAAAGTAGTTATCCAATTACAAACCGATTATAATTAAGTTATACTATTATTATATTATCAAGTTACCGAATTGCAACCGATTGACTTCAAATGACAAGCATTGACATACAAATGTAGGTTAGATTGCTCTATAGTTCACTCAAACACATGCATAAAAATGCACAGACATCAAGACTCAAAGCACAAAATCAATATAACCCTAAACTCAGAACTTGGCATAAATTCTATCTAGTTTAAGTTAACATTAACAGCTATATGGCTAACATGCAAAAGTACCAACGAACTAGTATGGTCTGGGATACTTATCTTTATGCTGACATCTAGTGGCACCTTGGTTGAATTACAAAGAAGACAAAATGCATGAAAAGAAAATAGAAGTTTATTGACTTTCCGAAACCTGCTCACCTTTCCACAGTCGCACAAACATGAGTTAAAACCAAGACACATAAATACAGTTTCTGTCATGAAGCCTCTGAAATGAAAATCTGGTGCAGTCACACACACAAAAAAAAGGAGACGGCCTGCTGCCTTGCGGGGAAAATGGACTAAACACAAATCCTGTCATTGGAGAGTCCCTCTTTGACAAAGAACATAAAGATAAAGGACAGACTTAGGTCGGATCAGCGCAGCAGATGAACGAACTGAACGATTCCGATGGTCAAACTCCTCAGAAATAGTTTAACATTTTGCTTCTTATTGCTCATGAGGCAACCTATTGTCATTAGATCTGGATATGTGAGATAAAAAAAAATCAAAACTTTAGTCCAAGACAACATTTCTTCAACAAGAGATCTGAAACCTTATTTTGGTTTTGTTTAGGTAATGTGGCACGTCACAGGTTCTTATTAAGTATAATCTTAGATGACAGTTTAATAACTTTAAACAGATCAGAACTCCAACCAACAGTGAAACATTTTGCAATATCAATTAATACAAATGAATTCTTAGTAAGATTTGGGCAATAATTAGAAGGGATTTAACACTACCTGGAATTAACTCATACATGCTAGGAGAGCTGGTTTAGGGATAAACTGATTTGAAGGAGTACGCCCCAACCCAAAATCCTCTTCAAACCACACAAATCTGTTGTTACTGTGAGCTTGAAGCAGAAGTTTCAAAACTCATTACATCTTCAGATATTTTCCATAAAATACAGAAGCTGTAGAATTTTTTATTAAACTAAGGAACATTTTGTTCAGCGTTTCTTTCGATCTTTGATATAAATAAGCACAAAACACTTAACTAGTGGCCTTTTATTGTCTGTCTTTTCCCAAATAAACACCAAACTCGACAGTAGGTAGAAGGACCTGTTTTCATAGATCCGCTGCCCTTTAACTCAAGGTGTACTATGATTTGTGAAACCTAGACTAGCGTATCCTATGGCAGAAACAACTTATTAAACAAGCTTTGACATTGTTCGTAAAACTTTACTCAAGTAGTTTGGCATCTGATTGAACCTCAAAAACATCTGCTTGAAAACCCTGATGGGAGATCCGCTATTAGAAGAAACAAACTGAAGGAAAACTACAAAACTTGGCCAAGTTTTGCCCTCAGAACCTTAAGACAGCCAAACTTCAACTAGTAGATTTGGTGGAATGTATCCAAATATAAAAATAAACAAACAACAAATAGAAATTGTGTTTTTGCCCTGGTAGATCATGGACTAGATAATATTTTCCCCCAAAAATATCCAGACTTACAACATGACAGAACTGAATGCTGTACTGTATGACTGGGCGAACCATTTCTTGCTGTCAGAAAATGGGACAGGGAGCAAAAGATTCACTATAAAATGAATACTGAGTGTAACAGACAACAACCAGACTGTTACAGAGGTACGTTTGGGTCCTGTCTCCGTTAGAGGCGGAAAATAACAGCTGAATGTCCAGCTGGTATTTATGCATTTCTGCCAAAAACAGGATATTTATACATTTTGAAATGCAAAAGGTCATATCTATATCTAGTTCATGGTAACAATACAAAAAATATAGATATATCATAGATGAAGACAGCAAGTCCAAGAAACCCTTTCTACTTTTTCTGTTTCTAAATAGACTGAACCCATAACTGTTAGTCCTGTTGCAAAGATCTACCCATCTTTGCAACAGGATCAGCAGTTAGATTCAACAGGCAGCTGATATGAGCCAGACTTAACTGCAGACAAACTATTTCTGAGGAGCAGGAATCGGACCGTACACTTCTGCTGCTGGGGGTGGAGGGGGTATTTTATTAATAAGAGTGGAGAGGGCTGCTTTCACGCATGCACAGACAATGGGAGAAACTTAAACAGGATCATTGATTACAATTGTTTGACGATTCCAAAGTCAGATTTGTCTCGTTTCCTAAATCAATCCTTTTTTTCTTGTACCTTAAGGCAGATTTAACACAAAAGTTCCACAAAACCGCCCCAAAAATCTGTTGGTTCGTATCTGTTTAAATGAGTGATGAAGAAAAAACCACCTGCTAGCAGCATCCAAACTGTGTTTCCGAGCGTCAGCCTGAGCTCAAAGGGGAGAGGAGGCTTACCAAAGACGGAGGGTTTACAGAAGCAGCACCGAGCCGGGGCTGTCCGCTGGCTCACACGTTTTAAACCTTCTCTCCATAAAACAAAGAATCAACCTGTGATGCAGAGCAGCCCCTCTGCTTTAAGCTTCCTCCAACCTTCTGTTTTTGGCACGGATGAGTTTGGTACAGTCAACCTAAAGTCTGTTGCCCTACGTGTGTGTATGTTTCTCACAATAATCATGGCTCGGTGTGTTTTATTTTTCTCTCTTGCTTTTACTTAAATCTTTAACTTTTTTCTCCCCCTTATGGGCTAATCTAAATCAAAAACAATACAGTCTTCATGATGGGGAGGGGGCACCTGTGGATATACAGGTGACCCCTCTCCATGTGATTCGTTCCTGACGTTTTTTTCTCCACATTCCTCCTTGTTCTTCCTGCTCCAAGGCTCCTAGCGAATAGCCTTGACAGGGCTCTTGAAGCTGGAGGCGGCCTGCAGCTGTAGCTGGTAAGCCATGGGATGGATCTTGAAGCCATAGAGACTGTGGAAAAGAAATGGTAACAAACAGACATCAGGCAGAGAGCAGGGGGGCTGTGCTGCACATAAACATCGAAAACCGTGTTAATGCTCATCAATAAGACCAGGTAAACAAGGTTGCAGGACGTCTGTCTTACTAACCGTGGGACAAACTGGTTGGCAGGCCGTTTGGGCCTGTACTCAGGGTGAACCATAAAAAGCATGTGGGGGAACCCGGTGCCAAAATAGGCTCCATCTGTGTGGTGGTGTCTGGAGGACTTGGGTGTGTAAACATCCATGCATTTAGGGCAGTAGAGCTTCACCATGGCCTCTCCAGGGATGTCTGACAGGCCTGCAGATGAAGAAGAGAAGTAAAACGGCTTTAAACTTGGACACGTGGCTGCAGCTCAACTTTATTACATGGAAATGGCATATTCACAGCATTACACTGATCCCTTGCAAGTCACGTATGTTAAAAATCTACCGTCCACATCACACAAACCTTGTTCAGCCAAAGTAAAATCAAACAACAGAAAGAAGGGCTTAAAAAGCTCCTGCTGTTTCTTTCTTTAGTTTGAAGCTAAAAAGTAGGATTTGAACTCACCAATAGGAAGCATGGGCTGATTCTCACAATATACTCGTGGGCAATATCCAAAGTCTCCCTGTTGGTACTTTTCCAGCTGAAAAAAATATATATTAAAAATATAAAATTAGATGCCATTTAACATCCAGTTTTTACTATTATAACATTAAAAATAAAGACATGAACATAGTTTCCCTTGTTTCTATGGTAATCCATGACATCATACGTCAGTGGCTTTGACAGGTTAAAATAAACTCCTTCACAATGAGTACTAATAAGTTAGTTTAAACCAGAATAATTTGCTGATATTCTTTTTTTTTTTTTTTTTGAAAATAAAAAAAAAGTCCAACTTCACTCGCCTACTGGAGAACAGAAGCTTTAAATTACACACAAAAAAAGAAAAATAGTGAAATTTTCCCAATGCAAGAGTCTTCATTTGGATGCTGAACATATACACACGGCTGAAAAAAATGGATATAAACTCAATTTGTTGGGAGATTTGTTCCTCTAAAGGAGACTTGTTTTAGAACCACCAGATTAAACTGGAGTTTAATCTTTCATTACAACTCTAATTGCATTGAAATAGTATCAACTGTATGAATATGGATACAGAAGAAATGGCTACCTTTATTAAAAAACAAAAAGACCCAAACAAAGCTGGATATAAAAAAAAAAAAGAAAAATGTATTTGAAGCTGAATTATAGAGGCCATCTATCTTATCTGTTTCTTTATTCTTACAATGTAAAATAAAGCAGCTGATTTTACTGTCATTTGTTTTTATCTGTTTTTAATTTCTAATTTCTATTTAAATGAAAATATATTACTAATTCTTAGATCTGCAGTCAACCATATTCAGCAGAAACACTGAAAGCGTTAAAAGTGACCCATACAGTGACCTACCATCTGCGCGATTCCTCGGTTGGTGAGGATGTAACGTGCGTGGATGAGGCCGTAAAGCATCTCAGCTGCCTGCTCAATCAGGTCGCTCTGGTTGGGATTATCCTCCAGCTCTTCATCTGAAGATGGAAAAATCAGAGCAATGTTTTGTTGAATCACTTGTGAATAATCTACACCCACACAATTTTACGCGGCATCAGGCACCATGAGTAAAATGGAAGGGGATGTTTCCGATCAGGGAAATTCACTGAAAAGGCTTAAATAAAATAAGTTAAGAGAAAAATAGTCTTAAAAGGGTAAAAATGACAACAGATCAAGGGAAAAGAAACAGCAGCAGAGGAAAGTCAAACATCCGCCGTTCCTTCAAGATTTCTGCTCACAACTTCTGCATAAAGCATGAGGTCTGTAAGAATAATGAGAACACAGACCTGGTTCGAGATCTAAGATCATGTCCAGAGCCTGGCGGTAATGAGGAACCTGCTCGTTAAGTCCTGTCAGGTTGAACTTGTCCTGGATGTAGTCCTCATCCACCTATAGTTCAATAAAACAAAGCAAGTCAAATAAAATATAACTTCACATATCCTTGTCTTTGCATAATAAAGGTAGACCTGCAACATACTACTATCAAAAAAATGGTCATAATCTACAGAATTTCCAGATATTCACAAAAAAGTTTTAAACTCCAGTTATTGTAGGAGCCTATGTCAACAACTCTTGCATGTGCTTCTGATCCAACACAATGAGCCTGACTGTATGCACTCAGAAACCTGGTTGTGCTAAGATTCTTGGGGATATCCAATTTATTAAGAAATTAGGGTTAGTAAAATGAGCACAATGTAGCAGAAATTTAAAAACATGCTCTTTCAAAATTACAGAGCAACCCATTTTTTGTTTTTTTACACTTGAGTAAGACACCGTTTATCACCCTGGCCTTTATATGGTGGTAATAGATTTAAAATGGGTTTTCTTCCAAACAGAAGAGAGTTCAAGTTAGACTGCAGATCCATGCATGCGAGCTAGAAACACTGTTCCATGTAATAGTGAAGTCTCACAAGATTCTTGTTATCCTCGCACAATAATATTTAAGGACATCAAAACAATACAACCCAGCAGCAAAACATGTATATTCTTGTGGTAAGTGCAGAGGAAATAAATGCAATTTTTTTCAATAACGACAAATGCATTTTTGATTACTGGCTAAATTGCACGGTCAAAGAAGAGACCATGTAAACATTCATATGTGATAAGAAATGTGAGGACGGACATTTGGAAATCCCAAAAATAACAGCACCACAGGGGTATGCCTTACCAGTACATCACTGCAATTAGCCCAAGCTCAATGCCATTCTGATTTGTTTTGCTGCTTAACATCTGAGAGCTGTCTTATTACATTCTTAGTCAGCTTACAGCTTCATGACTGCAATGTGAACCCATGAATACTTTAAATACCACTTTCTATCACCAGTCATTACTTCGAAGGCTCATCCAGCAAGCCTGAAAATTGATAGCAGCGTGGAACATGTTGGCAAGGATTTGCTGAATACTTAATGTCTGCAGTGCATCTTAACATGTCAGATCTGATGTAAAGGTCATCTGATTTCCCAGGTATTGGTTTCTACTAAGCATGTAAACACGCTCAATGAAAAACAGATGGCTTTTAACCTCCTTGGCTTGACATCAATTTGAGGTATGTCAAAACAGGGCCATTAGAAACAGAGAACCTGGGACTCTGAACAGTCATTTAAAATCTAATTTTAATGACATGCATCTGTACAGAAGGGGATCAGAACCACAATGGAAATGGGGGTGATATCCTGAGAGAAAACCACAACAAAGTAAAAATTGATTAGCTAAATATAAAGTTATGGCTGATTAAAAATATTAACATGTGAAACAGTAGCAAAGCAACTAGGCTATCAAAACTGAAACCCATGTTTTCATTAAAAAATGACTGTAACATAGCGATTGCAGAGATGGGTTACTTACCTCACAAAAAAATTCATTCCCTCTCAGTCCACAGAACCAGGAAATCCACGACACTTCCTCTGAACTGCTCATCTCTAAAGACCTAGAGCAGTAAGAGAACACAACCTTTTAACATCTAGCTTTAGATCTAATAAGGATCCAGGAGGGGGAAAAAAGCAGCCAGAACAAGATCAAAAAACAGATTCAACATTATATCTAAAAATAAAAAATAGACTACTCACACAACAGCTATGAAATGAAGAGTTACTCTAATAAAGAGTATTAAAAATTGAGTAGCTACTGAAGATCTGTGGCCCGTTATAGTTATTTTAGAGGTAATGTATCGTGAATACACAAATGTTTCTAAATCATTTTCATTTCCGTAGCAAAATGTATCACAATATTTCCATCAGAGTATACATGTGAACTTATAACCGCCATGGAAAATACATGACCTATGAAGGAAATCATCACTTCGCAGCTAAAACGGCTAATTCCGAACCACATAAATCTAAAGAGCACGGTTTCTTATAAAAGCCTACATTTAATAAACCAGTTTTAGAATATGTTCCAACAAGTCACTAAACTTAAAAATAGTTGATTTTTTAATTCAAATTAAGATCTGTAGAAAATAAAACGCCGTGGTTAATGAGACCAACGTTAGCTCGCCAGGTTAAAAACGGCTAATGGCGTAGCGTCGGATAACAGGCCTCAAAACGGACATCCGCTCTCTCTCGAAACCGGTTATACTCTGATTTTTGACCTTTTTTCTTATACACAGAAGTTATTATAGAACAAGTACATACCTGAAAGTTTTCTATAACTTTTAAAGGTAAAGAAAAAACGATTGTTAGAGGCAAAGCTATTTCCAACTGTAAATAAAATGGACACCCCCTCCCGGTTCACCCTGCAGGATCTTCCTCTCCCTACCTACGGAGTCTGCTTGCTCGATGCTGCCGCCTTGTGGTGCCTCCTGGCAGTACAGCGCCAATATGGATGAAATAGTCATGGAACAAATACTGGACTAATGTTTATTTTTTTTCTATTAATCATGAAACCAACCTTGTTTTTTGTTGTGTTCATTGTATTATTTAGATAATGTACTTTTACATCAATGATTAAATAGAGAAAGGGTTGTATAATATTTTTTTTCTGACTTTTTCCAATGAATCCGCAAAATTATTCTATAAAACATCTTCATCTTAAGTTACAAAAATCTGGAAACTGCCAACAGAGCTGAATTTGAACTTCCAGTGTAAAACAATCTACAATGACTATATAAAAATAAAAAATAGAAGTAATTAGTAAAATAAATTAAGACACACCAAAAATCAGACTGTATCAAGCCTTTTTTTCAGGCAACTTAAGAGAGCATCCACTTTTAATGGCAGAACTTAAGGGTATCTAATGATAAATCAATGTTGTGTATACCTTTGCAGGAAGAGGTACCTGTTATTATCCAATCCATCTTTTATTATACCAGGCCCGGTAATATGTCGGAGGACAACAGACCTTTCTTTACTAGGAGACTAATTTCTGCTCATTGTCCAGGGATCCTTTGGAGTCCCTAGGCTAGTCCCGCTCTGGAGATATTTATCTGCCAAGAGTTTTTCTCAAAATTTGACTAATGGAAACCCCTAAAGGCAGGTGTCCCAAGAGTCATGTGGAACTCATACCAGGACAAGTACAATTCACTTTCTTCCATACAGAGCAAAGGGTGCTCTACTCCAATAAAAGAGAGATGTCCATGTTGTTTTTTGTAAGCCTTGTTTACAAACTTGCATGATGTAATGATGTGGCATTTGGGGTTGGTGTTGTATAAAATGCTATTACTGTGTTTTGGGGCAACTCTGATATGTGAGCCCGGTTGGTAAGCGCTGCCTTCTGTAACCCTAAACTTCTCTGATCAGTAAGATTACAATTTCTATTGTAGTCTCTTTACTAGCCTAGACCTGAGAGACTGATCCGGATACTGTCTTGTTCAATTCCTCTAATATTTTACTCCTTAATCTGGCCTTTCAAGAATATGGATAGTGCTAAATGTAATGTTACTAAGTGTGTTGCCACATAGATAGAATGGATGGGCTGGTGTATTTTTTATTTATTTTTTTGGTGGGGGGGAGGGGTTAAAGGGGAAAAAGAAAAAAAAGAAAAGAAGAATAATATTGTATCCTGGATGTAGATTCTGTATGGACATGCATTCTGAATAAATATATATATACAAAAAAAAATCTATTGTAGTTTCATGGTTATTTTATACATTAGTGTTATTAACAGTTTGTCTTGAGTGATCTCTTCTCAGAAAAGAGCCAGAGAGAGAAAACTTCAACACAGAGCTTTTCTTAACACTTTCTTTTCTTTTTGCAGTGATGCACAATAATGATATGAACAGGAAGGTTTGGTAATATAGATAGTAGCAAAGTCTGGTTGGAAAATTAAACAGCATCTTTATTTTTACCAGCTGAGGAAAGCACAAAATTATGTCAAATTTACAGATAGATAACTGTAGACCTATGTATGTATCCTTCCGTTACCATAATTGGACAGTGAGCAGCAAGCAGTTTCTACAGCTTACCATACTTTTTGAACATAGAGTGTTTTGGACAGTAACTATGGTGAAAATGACTTTTCAAAATGTAAAAACTTTTGTGTAACATGTAAAAATCTGCCTGTTGTGTTCCTGAGCTCATTATTGCACTTTGTGTGATGGCAGAGAAAAAATGACATTTCACTTTAATAATGACAGATGCAATTATTTTCCATTAAATCAAAAGTAGTTTATTTAACTTTTGCCTTCTCTGTATAACTTTATTATAATAAGACACTTCTCTGCTTGTACATTGCTCCCTTGAACTAAAAATTGCAACATTTGTTTGTGGGAATGTAAGTTGGGGTAGACAGAACTTAGATACATACCAATATACATACAAGTGTGTATATTACTGCTCCTTTTTAAGTTGCTTTTTTTTTTACTAAAAACCATAAATGCTAAAAACAGCTTGAACCACTCTGTGTACCTCTGTAATGCTGGAAACATAATACAATCTTTGATTTTCGTTGGAACACACCATTCCCGTTTTATCTTTTTAACATGGGTACATACAATAATGTGCACGTCAACGTTAAGGAGGGATGGGAGACTCTTCGAGCCAGTGTTAAATGTACAGCTATCAATGTAGAAACCAGTAACAGGCAATGCAAGCAGCACCCAGCTGTGTTTTCATGCTAAGGAGTTCAGAGTGAAAATAAAAAAAAAAGTCCAACTTCACTCGCCTACTGGAGAAAAGATGCTTTAAATTACATAAAAAAAAAGAAAAATAGTGAAATTTTCCCAATGCAAGAGTCTTCATTTGGATGCTGAACATATACACACGGCTGAATGTATACATGTGGATGTATTTAAGAAGATTTAAATCTGTTAAATCACAAGTGAGGGCGGGGGGGGGCAAACAACGCAGAAAGTGCTTGCCGTTTGTGTTAACCCCTCCGGTTCCCCGAGTTAATAACACCAGAAAAACATCCACGCACACACATGCGCGCACGCACACACACACACACAATATTCACCAAATGCCCTACTCACAACATCCCAAAGACAATCTTCAAACTATTATCAGTAAACAAACAAGAGCCCCAACTTACAGCAGTGACAGAAAGGATGCAAATCAGGAAATCATTTTAGTTCACTTTGGATGCTGTTATAAGCTGCTTTACATCTCCTACATGTGATAAAAACAACTTTTTGAGTGTAATCCTACGTCACTCTGAGTTACCTTTTCATTTATTTTGTTGCAAGTAAAAATCACACGGACCGTGTGAACCGCACATGTTCGGGATTGTCCTGAATCGCCACCGTCTTCCGTTAACGGCCCATCCCATCTTTATGCGCGCTTTCTGAGAAATGACTTCTCTCAGATCCAGTCCTTCTAGGTGTGATTAATCTGTGCATGGGACCACCCATGACAGCTAAGGGAGGGAGGGGGGGCTGCTTTAAAAAAGTACAACACTGGCTCCGTTCTGTGGGCCCGGACAGCAAAAACCGTCCAGTAACATCCCCAAAACATGTTACCACAAAAAGAAAACAAAATGAAATGGAACAAAAAAAGTTTTATACTACAAGGAGTGCTTATTAGAACATATACAATTATCTACTAAAGAATAAACATTTGCTTTTAACATCATGACCAGCAATTAAAGACGTTTTTTCTTCCACTCCTGTCAGGGTCAACACTTACATTTTGGGGAGATGAAAAAAAAAAAAATCAAAAAATGCTGATCATTGAGGAAATAATGGTTGTTAAAATAGAGCCATCATGCTATCAATACAGTAAACAAACTTTATTAAACTATATTTATTGGGGATTTTTGCAGTTTGTAAAATTTCTGCAGGTAAGGATTTTGCTACGATGAGGCCATGAACAGAAATCCCACAAAGAAAAGGGGCAACAAACAATTATTGAAATGTCAGAGCAGATTTACAATTTAGAGCAAAAATAAAATTCACACCATCTATCTGAAGCGACAAAACCATTAAAGAAAAATCAAAGCATGAGGAGGCGAGCACTGAGGAGGAACCAGACAAACCTAGGGGGAATGAGAAGGTAAGTATCTTTACCTTTACAGAGCTGTGTATGTGGAAGGCTGAATTTTAGCTGAAAAATAAGACAGCAAAAAAAACCAAACCATTTATGATATGAAGTTATCAAAAATGATTTTTTTTCCTCTATGAGGGAACTAATGCTGACCTGTACAACCTGAGTCCCACCCAAGGCCAAAGTGAGGTGGAAATGTACTTATGAAACTAAAAATTAACCCAATCCAAGCTAAAATTCTGTTCAATAATGTGTTCTTCAAGATGCCGTGTTAGTGCTCGTCTAGCCAAGTAGGTGTGGAGGATGTGGGAATCTTAGAAATACATCAACACTTCTCAGATCCAACCACGGCACGTTTATAGAAGGGTGAAAAATTCAGAAAAAAAAATAAAAAAATAGGGAGCCGAACAAAAGGAGAGCAAGACAAAAAAAAGGTAACTTCACAATAACGGATGGTACGAAGGAGAATGTAAAAGGAACGTAGGTTTCAGCTGAAGTTAATATGAATACCATCTCCATATACGTCACAATCCACTAATGTGTTAGGGGGTGTGGACAAATAAGCTACGAAATAACAACCAGAAGGGATTAAGATGGAAATGTGCGAGGGGTCAACTAATAAAACATTTTAATACTCCATCACTTCCTGTTTTTCGGTGATGGCCAGTTGCCACGTTTCTCTCCACGATTCCCCCCGCCGTTAGCGGGAGCACCGGAGCCTCCGCCTGGGGGACCACGAGGACCTCTTCCTCCACCTCCTCCTGTATTGACTCTCCTGTTCTGTCGCTCCATCCCAGGACGCTGGCTCGAGAAGCTTCGTTTATTCGCCAGTGGCTCTTTGCCGGTCACATCTCGATCAACCACACCACCTCCCCCGCCGCCTCCTCCTCCTCCTCTTCCTGGGTGATGGTGATGGTGAGAGGGATAAGACTTCCCGCCTCCTGCCTCCCTGTCTCTGAACTCTGTGAAGTCGCTGCTCTCTGAAGCAGTTTCCCACTCCTCATTGGCCTGGTCTGAGTTCTGATTGGTGAAGTCAGGAGATTTGGCTCCATGGTTGTGGTGGTGCTGGGGGTGGGTTGGACCAGCGTTGCTCTGGTTGTAGTGGTGATGGTGGTGGCTGTTTGCATTATTAAGTTGTCCACCAACGCTGCTGCTGTTGTTGTTGGTTGTTAGTGTGGAGCTGTGGTTGGCGTTCTGGCCATTTCCCGTGATAGCGGCAGGAACTGGAGCCCCGTTACTGTCCTGGACTGAATTCAGGGAAGGAGACGATGGTCTCCCTCCACCAATGACCCCAACTCCTCCGTTGATGCGTGCGGCATTCTCTCGCTCCTTCAGTCTGCGAAAGCGGGGTGGCTTGTCTTGCTGGTGTTGAGAACGATTATGACGGCGGCGTCTAGGGGGCCTCTCAAACCCACCTGGAGGGTGGCCCCGGTTAGTAGGAAGAGGGGGGCCATTCGGGCCTCCAGAGTTCGGGGCAGGACTGGTTGAAGCTTGCTGGGTGGTCACTCCTCCATTCTCAGTGGATCCCACAGTAGGAGGAGTAGTGGTAGGCAAAGGTGGTTGAGGGGGGTTGGCCCCCTGATTCTGCCCAACATCTGCTACCTTGTCCTTCTTTTCTCCTGCAGTCCCTCCTCGACCCTGATCTTTGGGTCCAGAGGATGGAGGTGGACCTTGCTGTTTGCGACCTGAAGCTGTGGACTTTGAATACCCAGCATAAGAACCTGAGCCGTGTCCGACCCGGTGTCCCCCAGCTTGTCCTCCAATGCTGCCACTGCCCCTGTACACATTTCCACCTCCACCTCCTCCACCCCTGCCCCTCCTAGAGGGCACTCCTCTGGGAGTAAAAACTCGGGCCTGAGAAACCTTAGGTTGCGCCGAAGGGATGTTTCCCGTGGCACTGACATTCTCTGAACAGTTCTTGGAGTTGGATTTGTGGTGCTCTTCTTTATCCGAGTGACCAAGGTCACTGCCTCCAGTCTCACTGCCAGTTTCAGAGCCCCGTTCCCTCCGTCTCTTAGGGATTTCTTCATACTCTGAGCCCTCGCTGCGTGTTTCACTGCGGTTTCTTGCTCTGGCAGGGTTATGCTGAGACCGATCCGGACCGTGACGTGCTCCAGATCCCTCACCCTTTGCTTCTTGGTGCGGGCCTCCAGCACCAGATGAACGGAAGTCGCGGCCACTCCTACCACCCATTCTACCTCGACCTCCACCTGTAGGTCCAGCACTGGCGGTGAAGGTTCCCCTGTAACCACGGCCACCACGATAGAACTCTCCTCCTCGTCCCCGACTAGGTCTGCCCCCCTTAGCGGGTACTCCGGGGTGGTGTGAACCAACACTTGTTTCAAAGGATCGTTCTCTGTCCCTCCTGGAGGAAAACCCAGAAGATGATGAGTCTACATCTTTGGAGCCTCTCCCAGGCCCTCCACCTCCTGAGGGCCTCTCTTTTCCTCCGCTCCTGGCTTTGGGTGTATGGTTCTGCTCTTCTTTTGTTGCATTAGAGGTGTTGTGAGATATAGATGTATCCTGCTTTGTGGAGGTGGGTTGACCACCATCTTGCTCTTTGTCTTTTCCTTGTTTTTCTCCTCCATCAACATCCCCTCCTTCTCTCCTCATTTCCTTCACAAGGGGCTTCTTGATTGGACCAGCCCTCTTGTGGGGGTTACTGCCTCCCGTTTGGTTTGAGGGTTTGTGGTCTGATGGAGCGTTGGAGCAATCCTCTCCTCCACGAGTGTTGCTACCTACTCCTGCATTGTTACCCCTCCTGCCGTGGGATGAACCCCCACCAACAGTGTTGCTTCCAGGCCGTGGTCCCCACTGTGTCTCAGTTTTATGCTCACGCCCTCCTCTTTGGTTCGATTTAGGTTGAGAATGCTGCTGAGTCTGATTCTGACCACCATGTTGGACAGGATTTTGGTTAGAATGGGACAGAAACGTGGGGCCCGACTTCTCTGGTTTCATGTGGCTGTTGCTCGGGTTGCCACTGCTGCCTCTCTCACCAGGATTAACAGCAGCTTCACCCTCCCTCAGAGGTGGGGGGTGATGTTGGGCCACTTTCCCATCCTCCCTGGCAGAGGAGGAAGAGGAGCATGTTGATGACAGAGATGGTTGCTGGAGAGGTGGGGAAGAGTCTGTCTTCTTCCCATGAGCCTCACTGTGCCTGTCACGACTGTTATCTGGTTTGTGGGGGTTAAGGGGGAACTGAGGCGCCTGATGGTGGTGGCTGTGATGGTGGGGAAGATGGGAGTTGCCCTCAACAGTGGGGATGTCTGCACGGCCATTACGATCATAATGAGAATGGGGAGCTCCCCATATCTGCACCTGCTGAGGTCCTCGAGAAGACCCATCATCTGGATGGGTGAAGCTGTGGGGGTGGTTACCCCGTTCACCAGGCCTCTGCTGCGGGTGGGGGGGAATCCTTGCACCCTGGTCAGGGAAGTTGCTGTAGTTTCCCCTCCCTCCAATGTAATGATGAGGATGTGTGCCTCCCTGGCTGCCAACTTGCACACCAACAGGAGGAGGAGGAGTTTGACTGGAGGTCCCAGTTGATGAGCCGGGTTGCTGGACTGGTCCCAAACCACTCTCTCTCTGACGGTGTGGAGGAGTGTCACTTCTAATTGGAGACAAAAAAGTTAAAAATTGACTAGTCACTAAAGTTAAAGATGAACAAAATGTAAGAAAACAGTTAACGTTGTGACGAACTATATAACTGAAGGAAAATGTATCAGCAACTAAATAATTATGAGAACTATAGCTACAGTAAATCTGGATGACCAGCACTGCGTATAAACTTAATGGTCTAAAAATGCATTTCAGCTTCATGCTGTCATCAGCTCTGATAATGACATATAGTTATAAAACGTGTTTGTGGGTTTAAGTACCTTTTCTAAAGGCACATAGATTAAAATCATTATCTTCAGAACGTAAATAACTGCTTCCCACTAGTTACTGATTTTTGACTGCATAAAAAAGGCGAAAATCGCTCACACTTTATAATTAATTACTGCTTTTATCAGTTAAAAATCATATCGACAGGCAGTAATGTGATAAAACCTAATAACAGTCTGAAAGTCAGTAAAATTTTCTTAAAATAAGTGCATTTGCCCTTAATTTGAGTAGGTAAATAAGATTATCTATTTTTACCCTTAAAATAAGATAATTAGATATAATACACTTAAAATAAGCCACTGAGTTTTTTTCCTCCCTTTTTTAAATTAAAATTTTCTTATCAAATTGTTAAAGAGTCTCAATTACCTGCTCATTCAAGAAAAAGAAATGCACATATTTTGTGAAAAATTTACATACTTAAGATTTCCTTTTTTTGCAGAGTAGTTTAGGGGTTTGATTTATTCTTAAAGACCCTGAATTAGTAAACAGGCTCAACCCAAATGTTCATCAAAATAAAAAATACATACCTAGGTCCTTTCACCACATCCTCCTCCTCCAGGGCCTGTTTCTGTCTCAATGGAGAGGTAAGCCCACGGTTCTCAGCTCCCCCAGGGAACACTTCTGGCCCCCAGGCCAGTTTAGGATCCATAGGGGGCGTCCCACGGTGAGGGTGGCCTGGATGTTGCTGCTGTCTATCAAAAGGTTCTGAACCAGAACCGCCTGAATCAGATCGTTCACGACCCATAATTCCTGTAAAAGGGAAATTATTTTAAAGGAAACAGTTTCATGATAATAATCACTCACCTTTCTTGTTATCGTGCATTTGCTCACCTGAGGGGTGCATGCCAGCTGAATAGTATTCCATTGGAGGAGGGCGACCTTGCATCATGCGAGGGTCCATGTACGGCATCATCATCCAGCGCGGATCAAAATTTATTGGCAGCGGAGGAGGTCGGACCATGCTGCCCGGCTGATACAGCGGTGCTCCTTGCTTAGGCCCAGGGCCCGGTTGAGGGGTGGAACCTGGTGAAGGACCTTGAGGCTGAGGCGACAGCTGGCTTTGTGAGGCCTGGCTGTGTTGCTGTTGTTGCCACTGTTGCTGCTTCAGAAGCTGCTCCTGGAGAAAAAAAGAAAAGAAAATCTAATTTTAAAAGAAAATCTATGGCGAGCGGGAGGATTTAGACAACAAATATAAGAATGTTTTAGCTATGATATGAAAATATTTTCCTGTACATTTGACAGAAGACGTGTTCTAACCTGCTGCTGCCTCTGAAAGCGAGGCGGTAGAGATTTCTGGTACTTTGGGTAACCCTGGCCAGGAGGACCACTGGCTTGACGGCCCGTACCCCCTATAGAGTTCTCCACCTTTACTGCCTCGACACTCCTTTCCCCCCCACCTCCTGCACGGACGTGAGGACTAGCTACGGCCTCTTCCTTGCTCTCCGCTGATGGAGGTAAATCCAGTAAGGGCTGCTGTGACTGGGCCACAGCAGGCTGGGGACACTGCTGGACATCTATTTAAAAAATGAAAATGATTGTTTAATCAAAAGATTAAAGCTTCGTCAGATGAACCATGCAGGACCGGGCCATTTTTTTGTGGGACTCACCAGCAGTGGAGTCATGGCTACTGTTGCTGCTGGCTCTCCGGCGGTCACTCGATCCAGAAGCTGTCCCTGGCTGGGCTGTTAGTACTGGAGGCTCTTCAATATCCACACAAGGGGACACTGGCTGGCTGATATTGGGGGAAGATGCTGAAACAGATGGACTGGGGCTTGCAGCTGTAGCAGCTGCAGAGCTCCCATCCAGGCTGGGGGTCTTACTGCTGCCGCCAGCTCCTGAGCTGCTGCCTTGCTGCTGATGTTTTTCATCTAGCCTCTTCAGCTTCTCTGCACAGGCTGCACGCCTCTCTTCCTCCATTCTACGTTCTTCCTCCTCACGACGGCGACGGGCTCGCTCCACAGCTGCAGAAATTTCAGAGGAGGACTGTTTTCTGCGCTGACGCCAAGTTTCATCCTCATCTTCCCCCTGGGTTCCGTGGACCAGCAAGCTAGGCTGGCCGGAAATGGCAGGTCCTCCTGTTCCTGGCTGAAGCTGGGCAGCAGCAGGTTTTCCCGGACCAAGAGCTGTCCCTTGACCATGTTGTCGGTCCTAAAGAGTTACAAAAGGTTCATGTGTAATGATGTAGATTTCAACCCTGAAGATGACACTGCTGGAATGTTTGATAAAATGTTCAATGAATGAATCTCAAACAGTGATAAAACATAAGAACAGAGGAGTGGATTTAAAACAGGTGCATCTCAAAAATGATCATTTTAATTATTTAGTTCAAAACATGAAACTGTTTCTTCTAACAAGTGATATATTTATTTGATAGAAGTATTATTTCTTTTACATTTGATGACTATAACATTTAGCCTAAATTCCATACCTCTTAATGTTCTAATGGTGTTAAAGATGACTAAAAATAAGGATTTTCAAGTAGGAACGTTAAGTAATTGGATGCAAATGCACTGGGAAGTCAGAAAAGGTCACCATTGACGAAGCTAGTTACCAGACAACTGTATCCAAGCATATTAGTAGAAAGTTGAGTGAAAGGAAGTGGGGTTGAAGAAGATCTGTAATCAACAGATAGCTGCAGTTTGACGAGATCTTGAAGGAAAGGCAGGTCAAGGGTTTGGGGGATGTTTTCAAGCATGGGTGGCCAAATCAGCGAGCTAATCTTTCACAACTTTTAGATGCATCCCTTCTGTAGCAACACCTTAATTAATTTTCCAGCTGGTTACCAGGCATTTCCAGAAGGACACCCTACCAAAACCAGTGTTCTTACCACTGACCCCAAAAAAGGTTAAAGAAAAAGAGCTAGGGACAGAAGCTTGGAGCTACAATTGGTGCGATTCAGACTGAGGGTCAGAATCCAAGCATGATGAGGTCCATTGTGAAGAGTTCACTGTAATTCATTCACAAGGAGTATGATAATAATAATATATAATAATAATAATGGAATATGCTAGGCAGAACATGGGGATAATTTAAAACTGAGCAACATTTGTATTGGTGTTACATGATATTATATGAGTAACCAAATATTGGGGTTCATTGGCTTCAACTCAAAGATTTAAATTATATCACTGTGTGAGTCGTGAATTTACAGATGGACATTTCTTTTTTTAATTAAAGCATTGAACCTCCTTGCGACATTTAAATTAATTGAAATGCACCTGCAAGGACTAAACAATTCAATCTGCTAGCGGTGGATGAGATCATGACAGGAATGACTTTTCTATGAGGCCCTGTTCAAATGTCTACCTGTCGATAAAAGGAGTACGGCCCCTGTCCGAGGAGCGGCCCAGGTGGGGGGGAGGGCTGCTCCCGGGGACCACCCAATCCAGGCCTGCGCCCCTGTATACAGGCAGACACGGTTAGCCTTAATCTGCACTGGCACAAGCATACAAGCACCAGGGTGCTACAGATCCAGACAGACTGGGGTGCCGATACTTTCTGATCAATAAGGATCGGAGTCATTGATCACACCTAAACTTCTGATCCAGTTACTCCATCTTATAGTACCCATGTTTATTTCAAGGGACATACCAAACACTATAAATGTTTTTGCCAATATGTACATTTACACTAAAATAAGACAATAAAAAGAAAAAAAAAGAAAAGAAAACAAGTGTTGCAGATTTAGTAAGGCATGCAAATTCATTAATTGTAGCGGTTTGACTCACTACCTGATAGCTGGATGGGGCTCCTTGGTTTCCCCAGCCACTGCTTCCCTCCTCGGCACATCCTGGCTTGCTGGAGGAGGGCTGGGGGACGCCATCAGCATTCGAGGGAGGTGTGTGACGACTTTCTCCGCCGACATCTGAGGCTCGAGAGTGAGAGTTTGCAGCATCCTGGGACCTCTGCTGCTCACTAGGGAGAAAAGTGAAACAGAAAAACTAAACCAAGGCACAACCGATAAAATGTGCTTTCATTCTATATCCAAAGCAGAGTTGTAATTATAGGCAACAAATCACATAGTCAACCAACCTATTTACATACCGTGAGTCATTCTTGCTCTCCTTTTTGTCCTCATCTCCCTCTTCATCTGCTTCATCATCACTGAATTTCAACTTGGCGGAGTAATCAATCTCCTCATGAGGCCCTGTTCAAACAGGAAAAAGCTTCACAGTCTTGTTTAAACCTTGCATCCACTAAGTGAAATATGAGGTCGGCATTTATCACTGTGATGTATTCGAGTCCCTCCTTGACGCCCCATTTTTGCAGAGTGATTGTTAGCCGCGTGAACCACACTGCTTCAATAAGCAGGAAATGTGATATTCTCAACATATGCTACGTTACAAAGCATCAGACTCATTCACTTTTACTATAAAACCAGCTTCTCCTAAAAAGAAAGCTGCTCTAAATCTGATCCAAACTACTTTTGATTTTCACTGTTACTGGGCACTCAAGGAAAATATACCAGATTTTAATAAACATCAGTGATAAGGCTCTTAATAAAGAGCACTCTATTTTGAGATAAATACAACATACTCAGTAGCATCACATAGCCGGTATCTTTACATCTTTCTTTCTGTGGATTTGCAAATATTTTTTTCTGTACCTGCCCATCCATCATCTCCATCATGATCCAGCTCATCCAGCTCCTTCAGGTCATCCTGCTTTAGGATGGAGGGACGTTTAACTACTTCCCCTGAATCACGAGGGCCACCATGTGGCCTGTTGTCAGGACCGCCCTGTACACGAGAGAACCTGAAAGAAAAGTTCTTTGTTAAGAATAAAATACTAAGAAAAGAGAACGGAGGCCAAAAACTGCAGTTATATTGGAAGAACTGTACAGTTTCTGGAAAAAATAAAAATTAAAAAAGAATCTGTCAGAAAAAAATAAATAAAAATTAAGATATTATTTGACACACACCTCGGAGGTGGCCCTTCCCCAGGTGGCGGGTACCTGTAGGGCCCCTGAGGCCCATAGGGGCCCGGGAACGGGAGATAGGGGGGATACATCTAAGGGTCACAAAATGAAACGGTGGTTAACGTTTGTTTTTTTATTCCCATATGAAGTTATGTAAATGGAAAATAAAAACTTACAAAGGGTGGCATGATCCCTCTATATTGGGCAAACCCCGGCCCCACGGCGGGCTGGGGCAGGGGCAAGGCGGGGCTGCCTGCAGGGGGATTCCTAGGTGGCCCTTGCATCTGGGAATTTGCAGGGGGGACACTAACTACCCCATCCATTACCAGAGCCCCACCTGTGCCCCCCTCTGCCGCCCCCTCCCCAGGCAGGGTGGGCGCCAAGGCTCGGCCCCCACCGTCCCGCCAACTTGTAACGTCTAAAAACAGCAAAAAGTTCAATAAAATAAATTACAAAGCATTCATTTAATGTAAAAACATTCTGTATCTCGATGGGATAAAATGAAACCATAAGCTATTTGCGTACTCTGGGGGCGGAGGCTTGGTCCGGGCCCATACCACTGATCTGCAGTGGCCTGTTCTTTGCCAGCTTTGTCCGGGTCGCCAGCCGACTGCAGGGTGGGAAATTCCTCGCGAGAGAATGGCGACGGTAGGTTTGATCCCTTTCCACCTGCAAAGAAGTTGAGGATAGGCACTTAATAGCAACAACAACATACAGGAAAAAGGAAATATTAAAAGTTAGACTCACCATCCCCTTGTGTTCCATGTGTAACGCTGGCCTGTGCCCAGGACCTTGCCCCTACGGCCTGTGTTGAAGGTGGGGCCAGAGCCTGGAGAAAAGCAAATATCATGTCAAACATTTATGTCTTTTTCACACCAAGCCCTATTTGGATTTCTATAGCAGTACACGTTTTCTACCTCTGAAACTGGTGGGGTTCTCGGGCGGGTCGGTGCAGGTATCTGTGAAGCCACAGGCTGCTGCGATTCCGGCTGCGGTGCTGACAATGCATCGGTACTGAAAACACAAGATGCAAACAAGTCACACCTGAACCTAACAAACACCAGACAACCGCTTAAAACTTTTTTTTTTCCATTCAACAAATGGACATTACCTCTTTGGGTCTGCTGGTTCCTGTTTGCTTGCCCATCCTGTGCCGTCTTTGGGAACGAGCGAGACGTTGGGGTCGTTGCCTTTGTTCTCCGCCTTCAGACTGGGCAGGTTGGCAGGTGGTGGCATACGCCGCGCGGAGGCAACTTTACCAAGAGACTGCAGGCCATGGCGGGGGGGAACTGGCATGGGGAAAGATGTCCATTAGCACAGATGGACCAGTGAAACATGACACCTACAGTATCTACAGGGTGTGAGGACTGGGCAGATCAGGTTTTCTGCTAGCTCTAAAGTAAATGCAAATCAGAGAAAGAACTAAGGTTACAAGCTTAATAAGCTTTAATATAACAACCCTTACGACATAATTTTTTTATATTTATAAACCGTAATAAAACAAGAGCATTGTGTGTGTTCCTGGAAGGGAAGTATGCAGCTTAGTGAATGATGAAGTCTGTTTGGATTGTAAAGGAAAGCCTCTGAATAAAATATAAGCTGGGAGATAACCACAAATTCCACCAGCATCCATAAGTCAACCTCTAATTCAGAACAGACTCAATGGATCAATGTCTAGCAGACACAAATTATTCCACTTGTTCGGTAATTTATTTCTATCAAGCTCTATGTGTACAAACTCAAAGTAGTTTGTTTTTTTCCCCCATACTATGTATTCGCCGGATGAAGGAACGCATGTTTTAGAGGTGCATGAGACAACACAGAATTGAAGCCTGAATGAGCAGAATTCTTCACTTAAAGTCCACATAATAGATCAGGAAAAAAAAGAAACACAGATAGAACTGAAATACATCAATTGACATTGTCTCTCACATCAAAAACTCATTTTTTTTTCTAAACATGACAGGAAAAATTACTCACCAACAGGCTTTTGTGTTTCAAGGCTCTTTCCTTTGTATGTATCAAACAAGTTGAGAGACGCATACTTGGTTTTGCCTTCCTTCCCCTTTGCTGTTTGCCCAGAGCGCTCTGACATTGCGCTGTCCGCTCATTGAGTATGGTGAGCCCTGAGACTGTGGGAAAGGGAGGGATAGACACTGAGTGATATGATGCCAGGAATGCTCGGAAGTTGATAGTGAAAGTGTACAAGACATAGAAAGGGCAGATTCGAAAATTATGCTATAAAAGATTTATTTTGTTTGAGGTCTGTCGACTTTATAAATGTATTATACAAAATATAGAATACATGATTAATATAGTAAAAAAGATAAATTACAATGTATAAAATATACTTTGAAATTCCCTTTTTATAAAGAAGTGGAATTTTTATCACCATGCTGCAAACAAAACCTGCATTTATTCAGTTTCTTATTTAATGGAAGTTACTGATACTCTCTTAAAACTAACAGCGGAGAAAATAGTGACAATAGCATAGCAGAGTACACTATCAGTTTTTAAGAGTTTTAAACATGATTAGCTGGAATTTATCGTCATCATGGTAAGGTTTCATGACAAAATTAAATGATAGGTTAAATCTCCAAGCCAGTATTATAAACACTTTTCATCAGGTCTACCGTCCTTTTTTCAGAGAGTCTGATGCAATATAATAATCTAAGAAATCAAATTTCATAAACTCTTTAAATCCGACCCATTTCCAAACACACAACTTTCCCCTGCTTAACTTTAGGGAAAGGACACTTTGTGACACTAAACCAACCAGATTGTTGCAGCCTCAAACAATCTGAACTTTATATAACATTATAACAGTTAAACGTATTAACTGCATATTATTATCAAAAATAAGATGTTTCAAAGGGAGAAATTACTGTACTGATTGAACAACCTGTGTATTGGTGCAGAAACAATAACCTCTGTATCAATGTTTCACCAATGCACTTCAAGGGTTTCCACAGCCCAGGGTAACATAAGTTCATTACTTTTTGCTCTTAGATGTGTACTTATACCCAATAAACTAACTGTGCAACACCCTAGCTACAAAGGTTTAGTTTGTTATACTTTTAATTGTTTTATGAAACATTTTCACAGCTTAACTGTCACCCTTTAAAATAAGGTTATCTCCCAGAGGGGATCATTAAAATTAAAGCTAGTCTTTAAAAATAATGTATGTCATCTGTCATCTTTATAATGAAATGTAAGAAGAAAAAAAACAAGCAATTAATTGGATTTGGTAAGAAAAAAATAAAAATAAAAAATCCCAGCCCTAGATGGTATGACAAGAAAATCCTAAAAGCCTTGAAAACAACTGCCAAATCCTTTGACCAAAGTACTAATATGTATTAACATTCAAGACATCATCGGCGCACTAATTTCCTGTGGGTCAATTTCAGAAGTATGGTAAAATACACATACTGGAAGCACACAGCACAGCGTTCATCATCGGTAATGGTCATAAGAAACCATAAGGCAGAATCCATGTTTCTATGGCAACGAATTTTAAAATTATTTTTCACCTCGCCTTGAGATCGGTTCACTACAGCCAGCAGTTCTTTTATATGAACATTTGGTGAAGATCATCAATAATACACATCACAGAGACATCTGTCCACTTCAGTCTGATTTAGCTCCCTATGGCTTTAACTGCTGATCTAAACTCCATTAAATATAAATACTTTGAGCATGCAATTCTTAATACACTCTTACTGTATCTTTATAATGTGCCTTCAAAGAGGAGCCATGTTTAAAGAAATCAAAATTAGTACTTCAAAAAATTTAAACATCAAAAGACTTTTATGAATAAAAAGAAACAATGAAACAGAACTAAGCTTATAATTATTCATACCCCATGGCAGATAAAGATTAAGTGTTTTTTGTTGTTTGTTTATTCAAAGACGATTGTTTGAAGTAAAAAATAGGGCTGTGTGGTTTTATTATTTGAAGGAAAAATTATGAGTTTCTTTTGTTTTTGTTTTGTTTTTTACGTTTAGGGTACCTATGCCCAAATTAATAACTCTACAGTACCCATCTCTATCTGAGACCATTACTGACTCAGACCTAAGGTATGACTAACTAAAATGTCTATACAATACATTAATTCAGTTGGATAAATTTTGTCAAAATTAAATTCAATTCAACAAACTAGAAATCAGTCAATGAAAGAAAACCATTTGCTGTACAGAGTCTGAGGAACTGTAGTTGCGCATGAATGAAACATAAAATGCAGTCATTAAAAGTATATATATACTAATCTCTTAAATAAAGTAAGATGTTGCTAATCTTTTATTTCATTTTACCTGCTTAATAGAAAGTTTAAGCAGTTTGTTGATGTGCTTAGTGACTGAAAAAAGTTTACATTTTCAATTTTGATGTATTTAATGATCAAGTAAATATATATTTTTTCAATATCAGATTCTGGGAAAATGTCATATCTGGTGCCTTTAAGCGTTATCTCCTGGACCCTGAAACTAGACAATATCGTGAAAAAGGTAAAGTCGCGATAAAATGACCACAAGATAAATTATTCTACATTGTGATCATAGAGCAGTAGCACTACAGCGTCCCTCAATAGATGAGATTAGAAAATTAGGTCGTGGGATGGCTGGTGAACTACGTGTTGTACGAGGATTAACCAGGGACTGCAAAGAGGCCACGCTAAGCTTCTGTCAACCATGGGTGGTAACGATCTCTGGGGAGTAAATAAATCAGTTGATAGTTACAACACTTCCACCTGCAGCCATCTATGACAGGAGTTAATACAGAATGGGTGAAAAAAAAATCTACCGTGGAGCTAATTAAGGTTAGCTGCCGACACACACAGGCCTCCTATGTGTTCTCTTTGGGGAGGAGGGAGCTGCGTTGTTTCATAATTCACTTTCAACAAATAAAGCCTGGAATCGTTGCATACTCTTCGAATACGATAAGCTTGATTCACGAACAGAAACATTCACCTGGACACGTTCACCGTTCTCATCCCCAGATGGCATGAGAGATGAAGCAGAACAAACGGTTTTATTATCTGACGAAACAAAATGGCGGAGGAGAGCGGCCTAGACCCCTTAACGCAGGACGTTCAAAAACTACCCATGAAAACACAACATAAACTAATTTTAATATATAAACAACTTAGGGATACAAGCAATTCGTTAATAGTAAGGGGAAAACGCGTAATTCGGCTGGCGGTAGCGTGATTTAAAGCAATACACAGGTGTGCTAGCTGAAGCTGACAGTAGCATCAAGGCAAGCTAACGTTTATCGGTAACATTAGATGTACAGTTTAAATTCCAAAAACTCAAAACTATACAACAGATATCATCTTGAACCGATGATATTTTAAATAAAACCAGCAAAAATATCTACCGCCTGAACACTAAAGTCTATTTCAAATCCAAACCCAAGCTATGCTACATGACTGTTGGCTAACAACAACAATTAAGACACAAATATACTACTGCTACTAAAAAGAACATCCCTTTATCTAAGCTTCGAGGAAAACGGGGACGTGATTAGGTCCAGCTTAGTGTGTCAGAAGGGTTAATAGTGAGGTAAAATGTCCATCCACTGACCTGGTCTTGTCCCGACTTGTCTCGAGGTTGTATCGCAGAATCAGCTTAGCTCCGCTGCTACGGTGTAGCTTTCTAACCTCCTGCAAAGACACGCAGAGACACACAAAAAGAAAACCACTTTGGAACAACTGCCTCCAACTTTGATTAGACCGATGCTGTTAAAGGTGACAAGAGGTGTTCGGCTTACTTTAGTTTTCCGTTTTTTCCCCTTAGAAAATAAATGAAAACGGGAAAAGAAAATTGTTGAATCTGGACTCAATCCGTCACCTAAAGAGCCGTCAACGGCTACTGGGGGAGATTTCGTGAGATGGGAGCCGTTTGGGATCTCAACAAAAACGAAAAAAATGCGACAAATATTAATGAAATTACAAAAAAAAAACAAGCTCTTAATTTAAGAATATACAATATTTTATAACTATGGCACCTGGTATTTATCACGTCTTAGTGGATATAATCACATTTAGATTAGATTAAAAATGTACTCTGTTGAATTATAAAAATTAATTATAGATAAAACATGAACATGTTTTGATTTAAAAAATGATAATAAAACACATTTATATAAACGCTTCTTTATTTTGCAAAAGACAACATAGGTGGCGCTACAACATTTAGAACAGGCAGTTACCAAAGCATCTGACATTCAAAATATTCAATGTCACTGGTGGAGCTGGTTTACAGTTGCCTTTGAATGTCTGCTTCTTTTTGTATCTATGCTTCTGTCTCCTTGAACCCCAGTTGGCCTCGACAGATGGCCACTCACACTGAGCCTGGTTCTGCTGGAGGTTTCTTCCTGTTAAAAGAGAGTTTTTCCTCTCCACTGTCACTACAAGCATTTAGTAAAACTTTGAATCAATTTGACTGGTGAACTGTAAAGTGCCTTGAGATGACATTTGTTGTGAATTGGGGCTATATATATATATATATATAAACTGAAATTAATTGAATTGAAATAGAGACCCTGGACATTATTATCAGCACTTGGCAGAGTCTAACTAAGACTTCTGTGCATCTGAAAAATCATCATCCAAAAATCTGTCATTTTACTAATTCAACCCAAGCACGTATTTTATTTATAGCATTTTCTCACGTAATGTTTGAATTTCTCTGCAAATATACATCATAGGGAAAAATATAATACATACAGAATAATACAGAAATGCCAACCTAAATAAAAATGTTTTTAATCACAGTATATGGTTCTCCTTTTGCATGAATGAATGCACCAGTACAGCATGGGACGAGGGAAAAAACCTATGGAAAGAAGGTTGCCATAAACAAAACAACTTATTTGCATTGTTTGTTCCCTTGTTCCTTGTACAAATGCTGTATAAGCTAAGATTTATGAGATTTAAGTCAAAGTGATTATCAAAGCAGGTATCCATATGGGCACCAGCCAATATATAAATGCAAAAATCCAGTAAAGAAAATGATATTTATTGCAGCTGTATATTTCAAAAGCCCATGTCCTCTGCATTTAACCCATCCCATAGGTAATTCATTACATTTTCTTTTTTTTTTTTCAGGACCCAGAATTGCAGTTTGTTTCTAACCAGGGATTTTGCAGCCTTACAGTGCACAATCATTGTGCACTGTTAACACTTGCCCAAAAATCCCTTGCATCTCTGCAGAACATGTCAGCAGAAGAAAACAGAAACATTTTCTGGTAGATATCCTGTTAAATGGTTGAAAACACTTTTGAATTTATTAAACAAATTGGACCAACTCCAGAAGATGACACCACAACCTAAACCATAACCAATGGTGGACATTTCACATATGACCTGAGTTCATTTTTAATCTGTTTCCTTCCTCTTGGAGCTTGATATCCAAAATAAACGAGTATTATAGTTTAATATGCAGTTTTACATATTTTCCTTCCCTCAACTTTTTGTTAACATGGTTGGTTAAAGTCACCTCTGAACAGCATTCCTCATCAGCAATATATATTTTTTTGTTATTCCCTGTAGCCCATCAGCGACTTTCTGCTTTAAAATGCCCCTGACAGCAGGTTGTCTCTGGACTCTGTGGGTATTAACATAACATTTCTGTGTAAAAAGTATTTATTTATTGATCTCAAAAAATATTTTAACATCTAGGAAAACTAATTAAGTTTTTCACTTGCTAAAAGTCATTAATCAAAATGATCACAAACGCTGAAATATATCAATCTCTTTTCAGTAAAATGCTCATCTGAGTTTTTCTTTTCACATGGAACCCCTGAGCTTCACTGAAATACACTCTTTCTGTATCAAATGAGTGTATTTTATGTACTTTATGGCCAAACCATAAAGGTTGGGCCGCTATGCTATCTGTATTCCTCAAGCCAATAAGGGCACTCTTCACAAACTCCATCTAATCTGGCAACGCTGTCAAAAAAGTAATTATTTTACTGACTGTCGAAAACTCCATCTTTTTCCTACTGGTGCAAAGCTGCAAATTGTTGCTGTAATCATTCATTTATTCATCATCTGTTTCATTTATTTCCTCGAATGGAATTGATTTATATAAAATTTTACTAGTCACACAACTTAGTAATGAACACCTTGGTCCTTACACACTTATGCAATCTGCCTACTTTATTTATGCAATCTCTTTTGTGACTGTTGGATGTTTAGGTAACTGCCTGATACTGCGGTTCACTCCCGATGCCCCCAATTAGCCTCTTTGTTGCCAGATCCTCATAAATCCAAGATGGCTGCACATTCTCAATGCCGTTTATTTTTTCATATGAAAATGTCCCCTTCAGGGTTCTAGAGATTTTATCAAAGGATTAATCAGACTATTTTGAAATCCAAAGATTTTCTTTGCGATACTTTCCCTTACATTTTCCCATGGTGCCACATAAAAGAAGTGTTTTATATATAGCCTCAACATATATGTTTCCTTTTACTCAACTGTAATGAATCAGTCAGAAACCTAAAAAGCCAAGATGTCCTTATAACTGTGAGAGAAATAAAAAGTAATGTGCCTTTCTTATATAGCCTACCTACATATCTGGTTTAACTGTACATTAGTAGTTACATAATGCTTTAAATACATTTTGTCAACAAAGACATACATAAGGATAAAATCTAAAAATGTTGAACAATCTACATGTTTTAGCCATGCAAAAATATGTTATGTAGAAATCCTTTTTTTAAACAGGTGGTTGTCTTTTAAGATTACTAACTAACAATACCTTAGCCATGACAAAAGCATTTTATATTTATTTGCACAGGAATTTATGACAAAAGATTAATTATAAGGACAAGAAAGCCGATCAGGTCTCTAGATTAAATCATTTCCATAAATAAACAAAACAAATAATCAGTTAACTTATTTTATTAATTTTACAGAGAGCCCTTAAATAATTAAATCGTGGGAACTTAGATTTATAAATCAGATGCCTCAAGAGGAAAAAATATCTGATAGGTTTGGTTAAAAAGAAAAAAAACAATGTCTGATAAAACAACTAACAACACATGAGAACAGACAATAATATTTTAAAGTGTCTTGTGATGAAAAAACATAAAGGAATTGGCAGATGTTGGGTTTTCCATTGTTTTTATACAGAATAAAACACATGCTGGGGCATCTGACTAACCCTTACAAATCCAAGTGGAGCCTGGACTCAAACCATATGACGGCCATATTGATGGTGTGTTGCTTTCAGTCTTTCTAACAAGAAAATTAAAATTTGCATGTTTTTGTTTCAAATCAGCTAATCTCAGTGAAAGATATTTAAGTGCCTCATCATATGGCAGGGATATTATTTTATTCAATTAAATTAAAAACAAAATATAAAATCAGATATAGTTAATCTCAAATATTTCAAATATAAATTTGAGCATGGGTTGGATTCAGGTTTAAAGGTTCAGGATCATGTCTCAATAATTTCTTCCTTTCTTCTTGTAGCAAAGCTGTTTTTTACCCTGACTGTCTTAACATTTGACATAAATTTCCATAAATTAGGTCACACTGCTGGTAAAGACAATCTTTTTTTACCCCATTAAAATCACTTCGGGTTTATTATCTTAAGTGACCTAAATATCTGTTAACATAAGTATCATCTTTGCAAAATTGTTCATTTTCTATAAAAAGCTACATGATTATGAAGTTCTACCTCATTGCATTGGCTGATGAAGTTTCCGCATCCTAATGTATCTGTAAGAACAAACACAGCTTTTATCTATGAGCCACAGGCTTAATGCTAACTTAAGAAATGTATAAAATTTCTCCATCTGTAAAAATCTGCATTTTAAAGAGATTAGTCTATCAAACACGTTTAACTGTAAATTCAGCAGCATGTATACACAATAAAAGTATATTGCTAGGGTAAAAAAAAAATATGTGAACCTTTCTTTTATTTGTTTTGCCCAGCGTTCGCTGCTTGCCGGATTCTGTCACCTAAAATACAAATTAAGGCTTTTCAAATTTGGCAGAACAGGATAAAAATCCAATTTCCTGCTGTGACAAATGTAAAAAAAAAAAGAAAAAAAAGAAAAATCATAAAAAAGAAAAATGAAGGAAAAACACATTGAACAGCTGGAAATTCACAGTTAAGAACCAAGTTTTCCAGCATCTTTTTTAAGTGTGCTGTTTTCCTGAGTAGCTTCTGCACCTCAAAATCATCTGGTCCCCTTTCCCTTTAAGGTTTGGATCTGGGAATAAAACAAATAAAAAAAAAAAAGTCAGATTTTATAAAAAAAAAAAAAATATTAATTTATTTGGAGCAGTTTCCTCTTACCTTCAACCAACATGTCCTACCGGCCGCCATACAGGTGGAGCTTAACAAACGAGATGGTCTCAACTGTGTTCTTGTGGCCTTTCTCATAGATGACGTAGATGTACTTCTGGTCTTCAACAGATCCACTATTCAGAGTCGTAATGCAGGAGTAGCCGCTGGGCCCTGGCCAGATCTGAACGGCTTTTTCCTCCCAGGATTTTCCATCTGTTAGCGACCATCGTAGCGTCAGATTAACTCCTGATGAGAGAACAATAGGTTAGTTTGCTTATTACCTTCAGTTTTGTTCCAGTCTAAGAATTATTGGTTAACTTTACACTAACTGCAAAAGCAAATTTTTTATTTTTTTTCTTACTCTTTTGGTCATTGGAAGGGTTGGTGAAGTAGAGCACTCCATCTTTCTGCAGAGCTCCTGCTGCAACTACAGGATCAATCAGGTTGTAGTCGAAAAACAGTTCATCTACTGGGAGGGTCAAGCCTCCGTCCAAACTGCGCACCACAATGCGGCAATGGCAATGGTAGTTGTTTTGGTTCCGGACGTTGATCATGATGCTGCCATCTGTCATCTCAACTGGCTGCAGGAAAACA